TTCTCCACATCCTTGCAGTACTTGTTATTTTCCTTTTGTTTGTTTGTTTTTCTTGTAGCCATTCTAGTGTTGTGAAGTGGTACCTTCTCATTTTGATTTGCATTTCTCTAATGACGCTGAGCATCTTTCATGTACTTTTGGCCATCTGTGTATCTTCTTTGGGGAAATGTCTATTCAAACCCTTTGCCTACCTGTTCCTTTTTACTTAATTTAATGTAACTGCTAGAGAATTTAAAATTCCCATATCTGTCTGACATTATGTTTCCCTTGGGTAGCATTGCTTTGGGAGATTTTGAAATTGATGAGGGGTGAAAAAACTCTCGTGCATACTTCATATTCTTCCCTTCATTCTTAATGTCATTCACCGGTCACGAAGCTTAAATTCTTCTTTTTGAGGTTCATCTCCCAGAGCATTAACAGGAATGTCATTACAAAGAAGTTATCCAGGCACCTGATCGCGGGTGGGTTGACAAGGGCTAGATTGTTTGAGGGTCATCTTTAGTAAGGCTTAAGATGGACCCACATCTTCAAAGCAAGTTGGTTATTTTAATGAGCCAAACAAGCACAGCAATAAAGGTCACCTCTTTTCTATAACGTGATGAGCCTCACACTTCCAGTGAGCTTTTCAAAAGTTAGCATTTTAACAAATTTAGTCATTTGTGTCTTATTGAGCTTTTCAGAACATGATAATCTACTGTAGATTTATTGTTTTGGAAATTTACTATGACATGTTGAGGTTATTTTCTTAGGAATCTAATGGAGAAATAGTTTGATCAAATATACTTATTTCCTGCCTAGAATAGAATGGTTATAATACATTTGTTTGTGGGTGATTCATTCCGAGGTGTTCTGAGCTTAGTGTCCAGTTAAACTCTGGTGGCACTTCCTTGTCTGCTGCTGAGAGTTTCCAGGGGACGGGTCACACACACCAGGAAGTACAACTCCCCCAAAGTCTCTCTGCACCAATATGCGAAAGTCAACTGGGTTGTTTAGAGTACAATACGTAATTCATTTAAAAATAATTTTGTTTAATGCAGGTGTTTTTTCCTTTATATTGAACCCCCCAAAAAGCTAGAAGCGTTTTCCTAAAAATGATTCAAGATTTTCAGTAAATATAAAACTGCAGATATAAAGATATTGCTGGCATTTTGTGGTTCTTTTCTCATTTACTTACGTGGAGACTGTATTTTTCCATGCATCCGTAAGTAGGCGGGGGAAGATAACTAAAATGTATTTTGTTTGGAAGAATAAAGTCACGTGGGAGACAGAAATATCTTCAGATATTTCAAATTGCACCAATTGCTGAGCCCTCAGGCAGTTGCAAACTCTAATAAGAATTTTTTGGGTGGGGCTGAGGGGAATGAGTGGAGAAGGGGCAAGTAAGATTGCCATAATTGTTGTAGAAATGATTTGCCCAGGAGAGATTGGCTTTCGAGATTATCAGCATGTAATCATTTAAGTGCTTCTTCTCTTTTTCTTTTTTTTTACATCTTTATTGGAGTATAATTGCTTTACAATGGTGTGTCAGTTTCTGCTTTATAACAAAGTGAATCAGTTATACATATACATATGTTCCCATATCTCTTCCCTTTTGCGTCTCCCTCCCTCCCACCCTCCCTCTCCCACCCCTCCAGGCGGTCACAAAGCACCGAGCTGATCTCCCTGTGCTATGCGGCTGCTTCCCACTAGCTATCTACCTTACGTTTGGTAGTGTATATATGTCCATGCCTCTCTCTCGCTTTGTCACAGCTTACCCTTCCCCCTCCCCATATCCTCAAGTCCATTCTCTAGTAGGCGTGTGTCTTTATTCTTGTCTTACCCCTAGGTTCTTCATGACATTTTTTTAAAAATTCCAGATATATGTGTTAGCATACGGTATTTGTCTTTCTCTTTCTGACTTACTTCACTCTGTATGACAGTCTCTAGGTCCATCCACCTCATTACAAATAGCTCAATTTCACTTCTTTTTATGGCTGAGTAATATTCCATTGTATATATGTGCCACATCTTCTTTATCCTTTCATCCGATGATGGACACTTAGTCCATCTCCAGGCTATTGTAAATAGACCTGCAATGAACATTGTGGTACATGACTCTTTTTGAATTATGGTTTTCTCAGGGTATATGCCCAGGAGTGGGATTGCAGGGTCATATAGTAGTTCTATTTGTAGTTTTTTAAGGAACCTCCATACTGTTCTCCATAGTGGCTGTACCAATTCACATTCCCACCAGCAGTGCAAGAGTGTTCCCTTTTCTCCACACCCTTTCCAGCATTTATTGTTTGTAGATTTTTTGATGATGGCCATTCTGACTGGTGTGAGATGATATCTCATTGTAGTTTTGATTTGCATTTCTCTAATCCTTTTATTTTTCTGTTCTGTTTCAGCACTGTCGTTCAGAGGGAAGGTGGTTTTGATACCCATGCAAGGTGGAAATTGAAGTGTACAATTCAGTTGTGTTAAATATATTCATATTGTTGTGCTGCAAATGTCTGGAACTTTTTCGTCTAGCAACACTGAGCCTTTACGCCCATTAAACCCTAGTCCGTCCCCTCCACCTACCCCTCCCCCCTCCTCCCCTCCCCCACCCTTGGCACCCACCTTTCTACTTCACGTTTTCATGATTCCATCTGCTTTAGACACTGCTTGTGAGTAGAATCATACAGTACTTGCCCATCTGTGACTGGCTTAGCATGATGTCCTCAAGGTTCACCGGTGGTGTAGCATGTGCCATTCTTTCTTTTTAAAGGCCATATTCTATTCCACTGTATGTATATGCCACATTTTCTTTATCCATTCATCCATTGAGGGACACCTGGGTTGCTTCGAGTCTTGACTAGTGTGAATAGTGCTGCTGTGAACATGGGTGCAGATATCTCTTCAAGATCCTGCTTTGTGTTCTTTTGAATATATACCCCAAAGTGGGACCGCTGTGTCTTAGGGCGATCTTTTGCCTTTTTTTTTTTTTTTTTTTTTTTTTTTAATGGTACGCGGGCCTCTCACTGTTGTGGCCTCTCCCGTTGCGGAGCACAGGCTCCGGACGCGCAGGCTCAGCGGCCATGGCTCACGGGCCCAGCCGCTCCGCGGCATGTGGGATCTTCCCGGACCGGGACACGAACCCATGTCCCCTGCATCAGCAGGCGGTCTCTCAACCACTGCGCCACCAGGGAAGCCCTCTTTTGCCTTTTTAATTGAACGTGTGCAAACCTTGTCTGAGAGTAGCAGGACCTGCGAGCTGTGTGAATCCGATTCCCCGCTGGCCCACGCAGAATGTCCATAAACACTCTTCTTGATGATCTCTCCGTGAGAGGTTAACTGTACAGATAGTATCACTGTGACTTCTTTCCTGTTGTGCCAGGAAATGTTCCACATGCTCAGACCTCCTGAAATAAACACCAGAATCATTTGGCCAGATTGCACAGCTAGGCACTCACCCCTGGAAACACTTTCCTCCAGAAAGCTCCATCCAGGACGGAGGGCCGGACGGAGAGGTCCAGGAGGAAACAGAGGCACAGAAGGGTGAAGGCGGCATGGTTGTCATTGTTCTCCTTTACCCAGGAATGAGACAGCAGCCTGTCTCCAAGTTATGGCCAGCAGGTTGACAAAACCTTGTTGATTATGACACAGTAAGAAACTTCCATGTTATGGCCCAGTGTGCACCTCTGTGTGTGTGTCCAGAGAGCATCACTCACCTGTGTGACGCGTGTTGGTATTTAACGTTCCGGTCCCCTCTGCTTCAGGTGCTTGTTTGCTTTTGCACCGGGTACAGTCACGGGGTCATTGTCCTGCTGGGGTTCACACCCCGCTTTGGCAAGTACGCAGTAAGGAAGAGTTCCGTGTCTGGGGCAGACCTGCCGGGCTCGGGCTCGGGCTCGGGCTCTGCCTGTTTGCTCTTGAGAAGGCCACGTGACCTTGAGTCTCTAAAGCCCACTGTGCCTCAGTTTCCTGTCCCCTACAGTGGGATCATATTGTGCCCCCTCACACAGCTGGTGTGAAGAGCCATGGGGCCATGGATGTGGGGCACCCAGAGCGGCATCTGGCCCCACACTCCCTTTTCTTACTTTTTACTGTTGTTCACTGTTATCCCGAGGCCTGTGTTGCTTCTTCCTCCTCTGTTGTCAGCATTCCCAGCTTTGTGTAACTAACTGGGAGTTAGTTCCTCTCCATCCTTGGAGCTCGCAGGGTCTGGATAGAAGGTCTTAGAACGTCAGAAGTTAAAATGGATCGGGAAGCTTCGCAGGCGGAGCGGTCGCTGAACCCCCGTTTCTTTTCCCCATCAGCCATGCTGGAACTCAGTTTGCCTTCTGACTGAGACAGGGCTGCACCTGGGCTCCCCCAGAGAAAGGCCGGAGTTGCTGCTTCAGCCGGCGCGGAGCTGAAACAGGGCCGGGGAGCCGCCCGCCCGCCCCTTGCTCGGGTCGCAGGCGGGTGCTGGGACACAGGTGCTCATCTCTCCGCAGGCGCAGAGGGCTCACAGCCCAGCGTGGGAGGGGGGCCGCTCCCCACCCTTTCTTCCACAGGCGCATCTGTCAGGGCTCTTCTGAGTTGTCAGGTTGCCAGTGTTTCATTATGTGATTATCTTCCTTGCAGGCAGTTTTAGTGAATAACATCACCACCAGCGAGAGGCTCATCAGAACCTTGCAAGGTGAGTTCCACTCCCCCCAGACATCAGGCCTGTTAGGAGAAACCCACCTTTCCTCTGTCCTTTTCTAGGGTCGCTTAGTGCAATCTAATGATGGGTGGTATTACAAGTCATTGGGTAATCTTTACTCTTTTTGCCTAACTATGTTTCCTTAAAGAGCTTTTCCTTTTCTAAGTTTACTGAATACATTGCAAGCTGTTACGTAGAGAATTCAGATTCTCATTTTGTGATACATTATGAAATATATGTGTGTGTGATCTGTTTTATATATATATATATATATATGGTATATGTATGCTCTCTTTTCATTAGGCCACCCAGAAATCAGATTTCCTTCATGAAATTTATATAAAAATGATCCAGCCTAGTTTAATTCCATTTCCTGGCTACTCTAATTCAGTTTGGCAGCCAAGGTTTTTCTTTGGGCCCTTCTGAAGCCGCCAGGGGAGGCAGGGATGGGGTGAAGCCCCTCTGTGAGGTGTGACCGGAGGGGTCACAGGGTCCAGTGCAGCCTAAGAACCTGATGAAAGGAGCACTGGGGCCTCTGATCCCTGACCTGACCCTAGTCTCACCTTTGCCCCTAGTTAAACTCCATCAGTGCCCTCAGCCTCAGTTTCCACCTCTAAGGCGGGAAGGTCAGTCTAGAACTGGGCTGTCCAGAATTGTAGCCACAAGCCCCCTGTGGCCAGCGAACATTTGAAATGTGGCTCATGGGACAGAAGAACTGGATTTTTAATTTTTGTTTAATTTTCGGCAATTTAAATTTAAAACTGATACTTGACTCAGTTATTGGGAAACTTAAGTATCTTTGGGACAACTTGGGCATACCAATATCCTTTTTAACTGTAAATTTTATGAAATCTAAATTCAGATCAAGAATTCCCAATTCCTGTTTAACATCTGAATTGAGATGTGCTATAACTGTAAAATACACACCAGGTTTCAAAGACTTAGTATGAAAAAAAGAATATAAAACATCTCATTCATAATTTCTTACATTAATTCTATGTTGCCATGGTAATATTTTGGATCTGTTGGGTTAAATGAAATATATTATTAAAATTAATTTCACCTGGTTTTATTTACTTTTTAAAAATGTGGTTGCTAGTAAATTTTAAGTGACCTGTGTGGTTTATAATATTATAGTTCTGTTTGGCAGTGCTGGTCTAGAATTCTAGTTCCAGATCAGCTTCTAAGAATATTAATAGGGGAAACTCAGAGATTCACTAAGTTTAAATGTGTTGCTTGACTGCCGGGGGCTTCTCAGAGCTGATGATCTGCTGGTCCGTCCTCAAGTAGGGCACAACAGCCTGCAGCCTTTGCTGTACTTAGTATTTTTTTTTTTTTTTTTTGTGGTACGCGGGCCTCTCACTGTCGCGGCCCCTCCCGCTGCAGAGCACAGGCTCCGGACGCGCAGGCCCAGTGGCCATGGCTCACGGGCCCAGCCGCTCCGCGGCATGTGGGATCCTCCCGGACCGGGGCACGAACCCGTGTCCCCTGCACCGGCAGGCGAACTCCCAACCACTGCACCACCAGGGAAGCCCTGTACTTAGTATTTTTAAACAGCTTTAATCAGGTGTAATTGACATACAGTAAACTACACATATTTAAATTGCACAGTGTGACATAAGTTTTGACGTAAACGTACGGTTGAAGAAACCACCACAAAATCAACACAGTGAACAGATCCGTCAGCCCAAGAAGTTTCTTTGTGCCCCTTGGTAATCCTCCCCAGGCCCCTCTGATCTGCTTTCCATCCCTCTTAGATGAGTTTGTAATTTTTATAATTTTGTATACATGGAATCAGACGGCATATACCCTTTTTCGTCGGGCTTCTTTGACGCGGCGTAATTATTTTGAAATTCACCCGTTCTGTTATGGCTGCCATAGTTCATTCCTTTTTATTGCTGAGTAGTATTCCATCGCCCCATGCTCGTTTTGATTATAGAATTTTTTTTTTTAAGTTAGGTCTGTTGAAGTATAACTTACACATGATAAAGTTTACCCATTTGCAGTGTACCTTTCTGTGTGTTTTGACACATGCACCGTCCCCTGGATACCAGAGTCAAGACACAGCTTGTGTCTGTCACTCCAGGAAGCCCCACCCACACCTGCCCTCACCTCAGCCTCAGGCACCCAGCGACCAGTTGTCCACCCCTGTAGTTTTGTCTTTTCAAGCATGGCATATAAATAAGTGCTTTTGAGATGCATCTCTGTTGCGGTGTGTATCAGCAGTTCATCGAATCCTTCACTTTTATTTAATTTGATCCCCCTCTCCTGCCCCCCAGAGAGCCTTGTAGGTCTAGAGTTGTGAGGACAGACCTTGGGGGAACTCCGGTGTCTGTCCAGGGCCATGTTTCAGGCCCTCGTTGCTGCCCTCGGCGCGCTCTGACGTCCCCTTTGTGGCAGCTTTTCCTTCTGCCCCCCAGCTTGGCTCTTGGTCAGTGAGCTGCTTTTTTTCTACAGAGCTTTTCCGAGCCAAGTCATCAGGGCAGTGGTGATGCGGCTGGTGGATTTCCTCAAAGAAAGCTGTTGTTTCCCAGATAGGAGGGTCAGTGACTAAGTGCACGTGGGGCCTCAGAGAATAACTGGGCTGTGACCAAATGACAGGATGCTGGCAGGTATCCTGGTAGCTGAGAACAGGGGGTGCAGCAGGAGTGGCTGCTTATCTGACTGGATGTCAAAATTAGTGTTTCACAGATCGAGGGATACGTCTTCTGGGGGCAGGAGACACGGTGGCGTGTGTGCCCTTGTGGGACAGTTCAGGGTTTATGATGTCTAGGAGAGAAATAGGTGGTTAGAACCTCCTGGTGCATTGTAAGGGTTGCGGGTCAAAAAGGAGATTTAGGAGAGATGTGTGAAAAGGAATCAAGGTGCTGGTTCCCATAGGATCGCACATCTTCTGGGCCGCTTCCAGGGCTGGGGTGGGGAGGTTCCTGGGGAGGGGCCGTGCTCTCATCCCTTCCTCTTTCCCCTCCTTATTCTGTTGGTGCCACGGCCCATTGTGGGTGGGTTTTGGTGTGTCTGCTGTTGTCAGGATGGCCATGCCGGTGCCCTGTGTGATTTCGTGTCCTCCTCTCGGTTTAGACCAGTTAAAGGCCCTGCAGAAGAATTACGGCAGGCTGCAGCAGGATGTCCTTCAGTTTCAGAAGAACCAGACCAACCTGGAGAGGAAGTTCTCCTACGACCTGTAAGTGTGTCCACATCAAGTGTGTGCCACTCGGGGGGCTGACGTGTTTTAAGCAGAGGGCGGTGGACGGGGTGCAGCATAGTCTCCACTGGCCTTTTCTGTTATAGAGCATATAGGTCTCTGAGGAGAAGGTTCAGTCCCTTTTAGGAGTCATGTCCTTTAGACATAATGCATTTTATTTTTTAAGTGTCAGCAGTGCTTCGGAAAGCCCTGGAGAAGTGTTAGCCAGTGGGCTCCTCATACAAGAGGGCAGTTCTCCTTAGCAAGAAATGACTTAACTCAATATACCTTAAAATATGTAACTGAGAACTCTGTAAAGCGCAGGTGTGCTGGTTAAATCAATAATCTAAAGCCTTTAAAAATGTGTTCCAAAAGTGCTCAGAAGTGACCTAAGTCAAACTCATAGACTAAAAGGAGTTTGGAATAATATTAATATAATGTATCACTGGGTGTTGGCATTGTGGGCATTTTGTTTTCTTGAGACTTTTAAGTGTCTTTCCAAATTTTTGCAGTGAGAATGGAGTACTTTTATTTTTTTTAGCTTTATTGAAGTATGATTGACAAATAATCATTGCATGTATTTAAGACATAAAAACATGATGTTTTGATATACCTATACCTTGTGAAATGATACCCCCAATCAAGCTAATTAACCATCCATAGTCTCCCATCTTTACCTTTTTTGTGTCTATGGTGAGAACACTTGAGATCCACTTTCTTAGCAAATTGCAAGTATAAAACACATTATTATTAACTGTACATTAGATCTCTAGCGTATGGTTCGGACAATCTGTTTTAAGCTGATGACTTTAGTCACATACAAAAACTCCACACTTTACATATCACAGTCCTTCTGTGGTCAAAACAAAGCAATAAACTTTTTAAAAGTTGGGCTAAACCCATTAGTAAGATAGTAAAAACCAGTTTAGAGGGTAGCAAGTAAAGTTGTAGTCTATGTATTTTTCTCCCATTTTCTTCATAGCAACAGTGTAACTCAAGTACGGGAACTTTGGGATTCTGAGACAACCAGCTCCCCTAACTCCACCCTCTTTTTTCTTTGACTTACTTCTATTTGGTCCATGTCCAAGTTCATACAGAGTTTTTACATAATTGCAGTTGCCATTAAATTTTTTAATCATTTTTTTACTTTCTTGCATTATGTGTATTGAAAAATCCATTTTGTTTCCAAATATTAAATACTGCATAATGTGGAGGTACCAAATTCAATTCACCATTTCCCAGTTGGATATTTAGATTAATTCTAAGCTTTGGTTATTATACATTGGCCTGACATCAATACATATAACTTTTAAAAGTTATTATTTTGGATTATTTCCTTCTAAAAAAGACTGGATTGTAGGTTTAGTGTGTCAGTTGGTATAAATCGCCAAATTGCCTTCTGAAAGGATTTTAGCCATCTGGTCAACAGCAGTGTAGGTGACCTCACACCTCCTCATAAGGATTCTGATGTCCTTCCACTCACCATGATATCTTTCTGATCACTTTAAAACTAAATACTACTAAAACCGGGAAGCCTCAAATACATAAATATGCAAAGGACATGTGCAAACAATGCAAAGGAAATGTCATTAGAAAACATGCATATGGAACCTTCTTCAGCTAGGCCAGTGGCTCTCAGTGGGTGGCAGTTTTGCTACCAGGAGACCTTGGGCAAGGTCCCAAGACATTTTTGGTTGTCACAACTCAGAGGAGGTGTTACTGGCATATCGTGGGTAGAGGACAGAGATGCTGCTACATCCTGCAAAGCACAGGGCTGCTCCCGCAACAGAGTGTTTATCTGGCCCAGGGCACCAACAGTGCCCAGTTGAGAAACCCTGAGTTAGGCTGGTAGTCACTGGAAAGCATTCAGACCAAAGTGAAGTGCTCCGGTCTTCTTATTCATCCTTGAAAGATACCTTAACACACATGTTTCCCTTCCATTGATTGAAATACAAGAAGCCGTTAATGGCCTCACTTGATAAATGCTGACCCAGAAGATTTTGAACTAGCTGGAAATCAGCCAGGACCCAGTGACAAGGAGGGCAGCTCTGCTCCCATATAGGAGTGTTCAGACAGGCAGTGAGCAGAATACTCAAACCTGGTGGCCATGCGTGCAGGATGCACTCTTTTTCTCTCAGGAAGTTGATAGGTAAATTGAAAAAGCTGACTGACTGCATCTGTTTTACTAGTTGTGCCCAAAACCTTGTACCAGATAGAGGATGCTTCCCATCCTATATCTGATGTGTATAAAACGTTGAAAGCTGGAATGAGTTAGGTTTTCTTAACTTTCTCTGGTTATAGACCCTTTGTGAGAATTCGATGAAAGGTGTAGACTCCTTGTTAGCAGTTTTATAAATGGATGTATACACAAAGTTCCATGTTCAATTTGAGGGACCGCTGAAGCATACCTGCATGCCCTCTTCATTATGTTTCCTTAGGCTCCTCTCGGCTGCGACAGTTTCTCAAGCTTTACTTACTTTTTATGGTCTGGATTATTTTTTATTAGTTTTGAGGAGTACTGGTCAGGTATTTTGTAGAATGTCCTTCAGTTGGGATTTATCAGATATTTTTCTCGTGGTGAAACTGGGGCAGCACATTTTTGAGAGGAAGGTCACAGAGGTAAAGTGCTATTCTCATGGCTTCACATCAAGCATACGTGCTATCAGGATGACTTATCACTGTTGATCACCTGATTGAGGTAATGTTTATCAGGTTTTTGCACTATAAAGTTACTCTGTTTTTTTCTCCCTTTATGCTATCATCTTTGGAAGAAATTCACTGTGCTTAGGCTACACTTAAAAGATTGTGAAGTTATGCTCCACTTCCCCAAGGATGGAGTGCCTACACAGATTATTTGGAATTTTCCTGCACAGGAGATTTGACTCTTCTTCTTATCTGTCTGTCTAATTATTTATATCAGTATGGATTCATGAATATTTTGGGTTATAATCTAATACTGTCTTATTTATTTTTTCTTTTGCTTACATATTTTCCAGCTTTTGCCATTGGGAACTCTTTCAGTTGATTCCTTTATCCAATTGACATATCCCTGATATTGTGGGTTTGGTCCCCCGCCGCTTTTAAAATTACTTTTTTATACTCTGGCACCAAAAGACGCTCCAGACTCATTTTCATATATTTCCTGTCCCAGTCCTAGAATCAACCAATCAACCATTTCTCCAAGGAGCCCTTGTTCTTTTTATTGGAGAATGGTATTAGAAACCAAGATCTGGGTACTACGTGTGTTTGTTGCTACTAGGGTGTCATTGCTGCTAGGCTCTCTCAGATGACGGAGCAAAGAGATATATGTGTGTGTATACTAACTTGTGTTATATATAGATACTGATAAATATTTCTATATGTATTCATCTGTATCTAAATTAAACCAAACATGAATTTGTACTGCTGTCCCCAACTCTAATCCATTTACATTAACATAATAGTATGTAATTGGTTATGTTCTCAATGTGGGACGCTATTCAATTATTTTATCAATGTTTTGTGACTCAAAACACTTTTTAAAATTTATTTTCTTTTACTTTTTTGGCTGCGTTGGTTCTTAGTTGCAGCATGTGGGATCTTCGTTGAGGCATGTGGGATCTTTCATTGCAGCGTGGGCTCTTTGTTGTGGTGCGCAGGCTTCTCTCTAGTTGTGGCATGTGGATTTTCTCTCTCTAGTTGCGGCGCGCGGGCTCCAGGGCACGTGGGCTCTCTTGTTGAGGCGTGTGGGCTTAGTTGCCCTGTGGCATGTGGGATCTTAGTTCCCTGGCCAGGGATCGAACCTGCGTCCCCTGCATTGGAAGGTGGATTCTTTACCACTGGACCAGGGAAGTCACTGTGACTCAAAACATTTTGAAACTGCCTGTGGCAAAGACCAGTCAATGCTTATCCAAATCCATTCATCTTTTTGCCCAGCAAAACTACTGGGCAAATTCCTTGCAGTTAGGTATGGCCAAGTGACTTAAGTTCTGGCCAGTGGGGAAAGGAAATCGTGGGGTGGGACTTACAGGAAGGCTTCTGCGAATAAGGACAGTCCACTGCACATCCCTTTCCTTTACTTTTTCTCCTCCCTCCTTCCTGCTGCCTGGGCTTCACACAAGATGGCTGGACCACTCGCAGCTATCCTGGATCATGAGGTAATCATGGGGGATAGAAACCAGTGTTAGGATATTGAAACAGCAAGAGAAGCCTGAATTTTTGATGACTCAGAGCTGCCATACTAACCCTGGATTTCTTTCATGTGAGGAAAAAATAAACTGCTATTTTTTGGCCTTTTTGTTTCACCTAGCCAAACCCGATGCTAACTTAGATACTTTTTGAAAGTGCCTTTAAATATTGTTGTTTCTTAAACTAGATCATTTTCATCAATGCTCATCTATTACCCCCAAAAAAGACTTCTCAGGAAAGGCCATTTAGAATTGAGTCCTAAACAATAAGGAGCAGAGAAAGGAGATTAGGAGATGTTAGGAGAAGAGAACCTGGGGAGCCCAGAGTGACCTGGGCAAGGCAGATAGTATCATACGGTCACGGAGGGGAGTGAGTACGAGTAGTATCTTGAGGATGGGCGTGAAAGTGACTAGTTACGTGGACCTTGCTGGGAAAATCTTCTCTATCACAGATTCTGATGATGTGAATGTTAGGTCTTTTGGAATAGTCACACAGGTCCATGAAGCTGTGTCCTCTCTCTTTCCCCCGTCTGTTTTCTCTCTGTGTTTAGATTGGGTAATGTCTATTGTTCTGTCTTCCAGTTCATTGATTCTTTCCTTCTCTGAGTTTGAAAATGTTGGTTATTGCATTAAATTTCCATTTGGTTCTTCTTTATATCTTTCTTTGCTGAGACTTGCTGTTTCTTTGCTGAGACTGTTTAGTTTTTCATTTCTGTCAAGCATGTTTTAATTACCCATTGAAACATTTTTCTGGTGGCTGCTTTAAAGTCTTTGTCAGATCATCTTAACTTCTCTGTCACGTTGATTTGGTGTCTGTTGATTGTCTCTTTTTTTTCAATTTAAGATCTTCCTCGTTTTTCATATGATGAATGATCTTTGATTGAAACCTCTGGGCAGTGGTGGTAAAAGCCCTGGCTCTTCATTGACGTCCTCTGACGCCACCACCTGGGGAGAGGGAGGGGGACCTCATTAGTGTCAGATGGGGATGGAAATGCAGGCTTCCCATGTAATCTCCAGTGACACAACTGTGTTGTTCTAGATCCTAAGGTCCCTAGCCAGTCTGCCTTCGTCTCTCCATCTTTCAGTCTTCTTATGTTTGTTTTATTTATTTATTTTAAATGTTTAATTCTCATGGCAGACAATGTTAGTCACCTACCCCACCCTACTTCCTCTTTTTTTTTTTTTTTTTGCTGCACCATACGGCATGTGGGATCTTAAATCCCAGACCAGGGATTGATCCTGCACCCCCTGCATTGGAAGTGTGGAGTCTTAACCACTGGACCGCCAGGGAAGCCCCTGTTTGTTTTAAATGTAATGTCCAGAGTTCTAGTTGTGCTTAGTGGAGGAAGAGTGAAAAATACATCTACCCCATCTTCGCGGAGTAGAAGTCCAATTCAGATTGGACACTACCTAGAGGTAGCACAAACCCCACATGTTATGGGGCTCAGTCCCACAAGACTGCCCCTACTTTGGACGCTAGTCAGAAGTTCTCGGTGGCCCCAGACCACCTGTTCTTTCTGCCTGGGTAGCTACAAATTCAGGCCTTCCCCGCCCCCCTTAGGAGCAATAATTCTCTAGAACTCAGGAAAGTCCTAAACTTACAATTGCAGTTTTATTATAAAGCATACAACTCAGGAATAGCTAAATGGTAGAGACTCATAAGGCAAGGTCTGGGGTGGAGGTTGGGGGCAGGCAGGAACTTCTGTTGGAGGTGGGGTGCCACCTTTCTGGTTCACAGATATGTTCACCAAACAGGAAGCTCGCCAAGTCTCATAGTCCAGGATGTTTATCTGAGGTTTTATTACATAGGCGTGACTGATTGAGTGGCTGGCCACGTGTTTGAACTCAATCTCTAGTCTCTCCCTGCTTCCTGAAAAATGGGGCTGTAAGTTCCAGCCCTCTAATCATATGGTTGGTTCCCCTGGCCGCCAGCCCCCATCCTAAAGCTATGTTGGCTCCTCCCAGTAAGTCAGCTCATTAGCATAAACTCAGGTATGGTCTGCAGGGGCCCGTTATGTACAACAGAAGACACTCCTGTTACTCAGGAAATTCCAAGTGTTTTAGGAGCTCTGTGCAGTACTTGGGGACAAAGACCACATTTTTTTTTTTATTATGCCACAGATTATATTTGAAAAATTTGATTTTTCTAACCAGTGAAGTTCACTTATTTTACAACAGTGTGACATATTTTTTTGTAACTTTCAATTAACTCCAGTTTTCTTGTCATTTAATAACTGAAAACATATTTGTTGCCCTGCCTGTGTCCTCTTCAGATAAAGTGCGGGAAGCAGGAAAGATATGAGCTGTGTCTCATGGGGAAGTGGATTCCACTGTCAGAGCAGGGACGGACTTGCTATATAGACGCATCTCTAAATAGCTGTCCTTTCATTTGCTTGCTTTCACCTTCACAGGAACCAGTGCATCAATCAGATGAAAGAGGTGAAGGAGCAGTGTGAAGAGCGAATAGAAGAAGTCACCAAAAAGGGAAACGAGGCTGTAGCTTCCAGAGACCTGAGTGAACAAAAGGACCAAAGCCAGCAGGTAATCCTGGCTTTTTTCTGCCGAGGATCTCCCAAAAGTCTTCCTACCCCCTCTTCAGGCATTTCCTTCCTTCATCTGCTCTCTGACTCGCTCTAGTTCCCTGACACACGACAGCCTGGTCCCGGGATGCAGGGTCTCTGGCGGAGCATGCTGGCCTCCAGACCTGGTCCCCGTGCTCCGGGCCATAAGGCGATTGCTTGATTTAAAGCTCACAGCCGCCCTGGGAGAGAGTTGTTGTTGTTGTTGTTTTCTTGTTTGGAGGGCTCTGAGGCCCGTGGAGGCGGTTAGAAACTGTCCCAAGGTCACAGTACCCGGTCAGTGATGGAGCTGATCAGAGCGCGTGCTATCAGGCTGCTGCTTGTGAAAGCACAGCCCATCAAAATGCTGCTCACAGCCTTCTGGGGATCTTGGTTTGTTTTAAATACAGCACTTTTATTGAGATATAATTCACCTACCGTATAGTTCACCTATATAGTATTTATAATTCAGTGGGTTTTAGTATATTCACAAAGTTGTACAGTCATCATCACAGTCAATTTTAGAACATTTTCATTACCCCAAAAGAAATCCCATACCCATTAGCTCACTCCCCTTTTACCCCCAGTCTCTGGAGCCTGAGACAACCTCTGATCTATTTTCTCTGCAGATTTGCCTTATCTGGATATTTCATATCAATGGAATCATACTGTTTTCACATAGCATAATGCTTTCAGGATTCCTCCATGTTGTAGCATGTATGAGTACTTCCTTTTTATGGCTAAATAATATTCCATTGTGTGACTATACCACATTTTGTTTATTCATTGGTCAGTTGATGGGCATTTGGGTTATTTCACTTTTTGGCTACTGTGAATAATGCTGCTGTGAACATTCATGCACACATTTTTGTGTGAATGTAAGCTTTCATTTCTCTTAGGTATACTGTATACCTAGGAGTAGCATTGCTGGGTCGTATGGTAACTCAACTCTCCTTAATGTATTGAGAAACTGCCATACTGTTTCTGAAAGTGATCATACTCTTTACATACCTACCAGCAGTTTATGAGGGTACCAGTTTCTTTACATCCTTGCTACCTCTTGTTATTATCTGTCTTTTTCACCATAACCATCCTAGTAGGTGTGCAGTAGTATCTCATTGTGGTTTTGATTTGCATTTCCCTAATAACTGATGGTTTTGAGCATCTTTTCATATGCTGTATTGGCTGTTGGTATATCCTCTTTGGAGAAATGTCTGTTTGTATATCCTTTGTCCATTTTGAAATTGAGTTATTTTTATTATTTAGTTGTAAGAGTTCTTTATATATTCATATAAAGATATTGGATATATGATTTGCACATATTTTTTCCTATTCTTTGAGTTGTCTTTTCACTTTCTTGATAGTGTTCACTGAAGCACAAAAAAGTTTTTAATTTTCATTATGTCTAGTTTATTTTTTCTTTTGTTGCTTGTTCTGTTGGTATCATGTCTAAAACCACTTTGCCTAATCCAGCATCCTGAAGATTTATTCCTGTATTTTCTTCTGAGACTTTTATACTCATTAGTATTTAGTTCTTACATTTAGTCCTATGATTCATTTTGAGTTAATTTAATTTTTGTATATGGTGTGAGCTAATGGTCCAACTTTATTATTTTGCATGTGGATATCCAGTTGTCTCAACACCATTTGTTGAAAAAAAAAAAAAACAAAACTATTCTTTTCCCCACTGAGTTGCCTTGGCATCCTTGTCAAAAAATCAGTTTACTGTAAATATGAGGGTTTATTTTTAGACTCTCAGTTCTGTTCTATTGATCTCTTTTTCTGTCCTTATGTCCATACTACACAGTCTTGATTACTGTATCTTTGTAGTAAGCTTTGAAATCAGCAGCTTTAACTGCTCCAACGTTGTTCTTCTTTTTCAAGATTGTTCTGGCTATTCTGCACTGGTTGACTTTCTGTATGAATTTTTGGATCCGCTTGTCAATGTCCTCAACAAAGCCAGGTGGGATTTTGACAGAGATTACATTGTCTGTACGTCAGTTTGGGAAATGTTGCCATCTTAACAACATCCAGTCTTCTGTTGTGTGAATGGGGGATGTCTTTCCACTTAAGTCCTTTAAAAGTCTTTTTGAATAATATTTTGTAATTTTCAGAAGTCTTGCACTTCTTTTGTACAATTTATTTCTAAGTATTTTTTGATGCTATTATAAATGGAATTGTTTTCTTAATTTCATTTTCGAACTGCTTATTGCTAGTGTGTAGAAATACAATTCATTTTTTATATTGATTTTGTATCTTTCAACCTTGCTGAACTTGTTTATTAGTTTGAATAGTATTTTTTTTTGATTCCTTAGGATTTTCTGTATTAAGATTATGTCATCTAAAAATAGTTTTACATCTTCCTTTCCGATCTGGATGCCTTTTATTTCTTCTTATTGCTTAATATCCCTGGCTAGAACCTCCAGTATAATGTTAAATAGAAGTGGTGAGGATAGACATCTTTGTCTTGTCCTTGATCACAGAGGGAAAGCATTAAGTCTTTCACCATTAAGTCTGATGTTAGCTGTGCAGGCATACCTCGTTTTATTGTGCTTCACAGATATTTGTGTTTTTTTACAAATTGAAGGATTGTGGTAACCCGGTGTTGAGCAAATAATATTGGCTCCATGTTTTCCAGTTTGCTCACTTCATGTCTCTGTGTCACATTTTGGTAATTCTCACAATATTTCAACCTTTTTCATTATTACATTTGTTACGGTAATCTGTGATCAGGGGTCTTTGATGTTACTATTGTAACTGTTTTGGCCTTTTTTAAGCAATAAAGTATTTTTTAATTAAGGTAGTACATTTTTTGGACATAATGTTATTGCATACTTAATAGACTACAGTATAGTGTAAACATAACTTTTATAGGCACTGGGAAACCAAAAAATTGGCGTTACTCGCTTTATTGCGATATTCACTTTATTGCAGTGGTCTGGAACCAAACCTGCGATGTCTTCAAGGTATGCCTATATATTTTTCATAGATGCACATTATCAAGTTGAGGTAGTTCCCCTCTATTCTTAATTTGTTGAGTGTTTTTATCAAGAAGAGCTGTTGGATTTTGCCAATGTTTTTTCTGCATTGAGATGATCATGTGTTTTTGTCCTTTATGCTATTGACATGGTATTACATTAATTGATTTTTAGATGTTAAACTAACCTTGCATTGCTGGGAGAAATCCTACTTGGCCATGGTGTATAATCCTTTTGTATGTTGCTTGATTTGATTTGCTAGAACTTTGTTGATGATTTGGGGGTCTATATTCATATTAGGTCTATAGTTTTCTTGTAATGTCTTTCTCTGGCTTTGGTATGAGGGTAATTACTGGGCTCATAGAATGAGTTGGGAAGTATTCTTTCCTCTTGTGTTTTTTGGAAGAGTTTGTGAAGATTTAGAATTAAATGTTTGGTAGAATGCACCAGTGAAGCCATCTGGAACTGGGTTTTTGGGGGGGGCGGGGATTTTTAAATTACTGCTTCAGTCTCTTGTGTTATAAGTCTGCTCAGATTTTCTACTTCTTCTTGAATCAGTTTTGGTAGTGTGTGTCTTCCTAGGAACTTGTCTGTTTCAGCTAAGTTATCAAACTTGTTGGCAAACAATTGTTCTTAGTATTTCCTTATAATAAAACTTTTTTATTTGTGTAAGGTTGGTAGTGTTATCCTCTTTCATTTTTGATTTTAGTAATTTGAGTTTTTTAAATTCTCAGTTCATCTAGCTAAAGCATTGTCAATTTTTTTCATCTTTCAAAGAACTAACTTTTGGTTTCATTGATTTTCTTTATTTTCTTTTCCATATGTCATTAATTCCTGATCTAACCTTTATTATGTGCTTCCTTGCTTTAGGTTTAGTTTGCTCTCCTTTTTCAAGTGTCTTAAGGTGAGAGATTAGGTTATTAATTTGAGATATATCTTTTTCCTTGAGATAGGCCTGTAAATGTCCCTCTTAGTACTGCTTTAACTGCCTTCCAGAAGTTTGATGTGTTGTGTTTTTCATTTTTCTCTAAGGTATTTTCTAATTTTCCTTGTGATTTCTTTGGCCCATTGGTTATTTGGGAGTATGTTATCTAATTTCCACATATTTGTGAATTTCTCAAAAAATTTCATTCCTGTCATTGATTTATAATTTCATTCCATTGTGACTGGAGACCATACATTGTATGATTTCAACACTTAAAACCTGTTGAGGTTTGTTTTGTGGCCTAGCATCTGTCTGTCCTGGAGAAGAATGTATTTTGCTCTAGTTGGGTTGGGTGCTCTGCAGGTGACTGTTAAGGTGGTTTGTCATGTTGTTCAAGTCCTCTCTTTCCTTATTGATCTTCTGCTTACTTGTTAATACCTTATTAAAAGATTTTTCTGGGAGATGTGGATCCAGCCTCAGATCTTCTGCTTTATGCCAGGTGGTAGGGCATGACCTGGGTAGAGTATGGCATTTCTCAGGGTTTCCATGTTCGTATTCATCAGAAGGACGTAGTGGGTCCATTGCATTGCTCAGCGTTGTTGAAGGTTTATGGTCATGGAGCCCCTGGCTGCCTGTGCTCCTGTTTCAGCTCCAAGCCCCCAGTGAGCCCCAGCCCAGGCCGCAGGAAGCAGGCCTGCCCCAGGCAGAGGTGCCACAAGCAAGAGGGAACATGCCCAGCAACAGCGAGCCCCAGACACCAGTCCCCAGTTCTGAGGCGGCTTTGGATTTGAAGAAACAAGGCGAGAAAGGTAAGTGAAGCTTGGCAATGACACGTTTAAGCCCTCTTCAGGGTCCCGTGCCAATAGAAAGCATAGCAGCGGGTCATGCCCTCCAGTCCACACAAATACACAGGGCAGAGTGTGCTGCTGGTGGCCGGTGGGGACTCGGTAACGGGGCTGCAGGTGGCAGGTGAGTGTCTCTCTGGCACCTGGACTTGGGGCCATGGGCTTTTTCTCTGCCTTACTGATGTCTCACATTGTAAACTAAGTGCCTAGTTCTTTGGCAGCTCTGTAAAGGAAGGTCCAGGCAGAGCCTTTTTTCAGGACAGTGGTGGGACTGTGGGATTAAGGGGACGTGGCTGAGTCCTAGGCAGCTGTCGTTGGCTCCCAAGCACTCGTCTTAAATAGGACGATCAGGTAACCTCAGCAGTGCAGCCTCCTCCACTTGCAGGGTGTCTCTGTGAGCCAGATCACTTAGTCTGAATTTTTTTTCTAAGCCATTTCCTCTTCCTGGTGGTTCTGAAGATGAGCTGTGGGCATAGAGAGGCCTGGAGTCTGCTGAGGCCACAAAAGAAATGATCCACCTGCCCTATCGGTCCACAGTCCTTGGGAAGGCTCTGGGAATTGAGTGGTACGAGGGTTTCTGGTTTTGTCTTAATTAATTGCTAGTGAGGTCACAGCTAACTATGTTCTGTGCACAGAGGGAACCAAGGAGATTCAGGTCGTCAGCAAGGAGGAGCTTCAGAGGGATGGCCTGGGGCTGTCGAAGGAGCCGGGGCGAGAGCAGAATGCGGAAGAAGACAGACGTGTGGGCGGAAAAGGCCGTGGAGAACCCGGAGAACTGGGCCAAACCCCACAGGTGCCAGCTGCCCTGTTGGCAAGCCAGGAGAATCAGGAGATGGAGAGCCCTGAGCGGGACCAGCTCGTCATCCCCGACGGGCAAGAGGAGGAGCGGGATGCCGACGAGGAAGGTGGGTGAGATTGTCCACCCGGCACCCGCGTCCTCAGCCTCCTTCCTGACGCGGGATGGGCAGCCATGAAGATTCCCAAACAGCAGGTCACCGTTTGGTGGTTCGTTTTGTCTGCACTGTCCAGCAGGAGGCAGGACAGAAGAGCCGTCACTCCCAGCACTTGGAACTTTTAGAAATAATATTCACAGGGAGCCTAGGGGGCTTTCCAGGTGGCAGACCTTGGGATGGGAGCTGAGCATCGAGCACACATAGGTCTCCTGCCAGGTGGACCCCGCGCCTCACCTTTGTTGCTGCACTTCCTCATGCGGCATCACCAGCAGTGCCTGGCGAGCAGATGGAGGAAGGAGGGACAGAAGGATTGGCTAGACGGAGTTTCACGCACGTTTGAGCCTTACAGAAAAGTGACGTGGGAATCCCACCTTTCTGGTTTGGTTGACTTTTCTCTTTCTTAAAAAAAAGTGTGGGAAACTGAGATTAGCAGAGTATTCTGGGATGTATTTTGGTCCCTGAAAGATGGGGAAAATTTCAATCCTAGCTAAGCCAGGAGTGCTTAGACAGAAGACACCTGTGTTCTGAGCCTGATCGAGTGACAGAAGTTGGGGAATGTACTTATTTGCAGAAGTTACCCTGATTCCATTTAAATCTTAATTTTCACTGAAGCTTCTGACGAGTGTGTTCTCATAAGTTTTCAGTTTAAGAATTGGGGGGAAAAAAGAAAAAGGGAAACTCTGGTGGCTGATCAGATTGGTACTCAAATTTCAGACCATTCAGTAGCTGGTCATCAAGTGTAACCGCTACCAGTAGGCCTGAGATACTGCTGGGGCTGTGTGTCACACCTCGTCCTAGGTCAGCGGTAATGGTCTGATCAGTAGAATAAAGCTACAGGGCACGAGGCCTGGGCTTTGTTTCCACTTCAGGCAGTGAGTGCAGGGAAATAGAACTAGAGCTGCCTTTTCGAGGCACACTTTTTTTAACAAAAGATTTTATTTACCTACCTATATATAGATATAAAATGTTTACATTAAACCCTATGAGTATGTTTCTTGAATGCATTCTGTCCCGATCTTCTTTTCTGGTTGCTCTTCTCTCCAGGGATGAATGCAGTGATAAATAATCTAATTCTGTGAAAATTTTATCCTTTGGCTCACAGTGGCCACTCCATTTCCTTCTCTCGGGGCAGTGAACCCTTCTAAGGAGATGGCTGCCATTAACCAGCAACCCGTAGTTTCCGGAAACAGTGGTGCCTTCCTTTAACCTTGAGTTGATTGTCTCTTTAAAAAACTGGGATTTTTGGTTTGGTGAGCTAGTTACCCCGTTTCCAGCCTGGAATATAGCCCTTTATTTAGGGCCGTATTTTGTACAGATTCAGAATCGGAGTGGGGCATACAAAAGTAGAGGACTCCTGCACGGTATTCGCCCTGGAAGCAAGCACATGCGTCCCTGTCATTTCCTGAGAGGAAGCCAAAAGATCTGATTGTTAAACCAGGATTGGGACAACCCCAGTACCTGGGCTCTGGTGTTCCTATGGCATCGAGAGAGAAAATGATGTAGCTTACGTTTTATGGCTCTGCTAATTTTATAGGGAGAAACCAGCAAAAACTGGGAGCAGAAGATGACTACAACATGGATGAAAACGAGGCAGAATCTGAAACAGACAAGCAGGCAGCCCTCGCGGGGAATGACAGAAACGGAAATGGTAATTAACGGCGGTGGTGGGGTCATTTCATTCATTTCTGCTTTGTGGTCCTTCACTTTTGCAGTGACTGTACACCGAATCCCAACAGGAAGAGTGTAAAGAATCCATCATTAGAAGACTTTGTTTTCTTCAGAAGCCTTCGAGTGTAGGGGCAGTGGAGGGAGGTGAAGGGTTGAAAAGGCCACGACAAAGACCTGTCAGAAAGTCTGCATATATGATGTGGGGCTCAGGCCCTCCGGAATCAGTGAGGATTTGTCTTCAGTGACATTTAGGGACTTCCCAACAAAATGATAGTTCACTGCTTCGTTACTCCACAGCACCAGCTGAAAAGCCCTGATGCACGCACAGAGCTTCCAGGCAGTTGTTTATAGTAGCACTTTGTGTTATTGTTATTCTGAATTTTTGAGGAGTCCAGGCCAGCAGGATGATCAGATTCCGGATCTGTCTGCCTCTTGTGACTGGATTCAGGTTGAACATTTTATAGGTGCAATTGTGTTCCTCTGGCTTCCCACCAGGAGGCACGGAATGGCAGGTTGATCCTTGGTTAAGGTAGTGCCCACCAGGTCTCTCCGTTGCAAAGGTCCATATTCCCTGTGTAATACACTGTCTAGAGGGGGATGCTTTGAAATAGTGTGGCTTTACCATCCATTGAAAACCGTTGTCTAAATAATAACTCCTCACATTTATTAACTGCCGTTCTTTAAGGACCCCCTCACCCCTGACGTGTACACATGTGAGTGTGCGTGCATACACACACACACACACACACACACTGACTCTCTGTCTTCCCCCCTTGTTTTAGTATCACTGTGGACTCAAGGTTTTCTTTTTCGAAATTCGTTTTTCCATCAGACTCTTGGTGTTTCTTTGTTTCTAAGAGCTCTTTATATGCAGGGGAGGTTGGCCTTTATCGGTGACCTAAGTTGCAAATACTGCCTGGCAGTGTGTCTTGGTTTTGCTTATGGTTTTTTGCCATGTGAAAGTTTCAAAAATTTTTGTCTTTTCTTTTACTGCCTCTAGATATTGAGTCATCTAGACTTGAAAGGAATTCACCCATGTTTTTGTTCAGTATGCTGTCAGATTTTTCTTTTGGTTCCATTGTGAAATAAAACAGATTCACAAAACCACACATAACAAGTGAGTTTTTAGAAGGTAAACACGTTGTAACTGCCCCCTGCCTCCCTGGTCAAGAAATAGAACTTGGGGGGTCCTCCTGAGGCTCCTTCTCTGTTGCTTGTCCTGTCCCAGCACCTTCCCTCCCTGTACTAGAAATGCCTATCCTGACCTTTCCATTCGGCATTTTCTTGAATTTCTTTATGGGTTTATCACTCAAGTGGGCATCCCTGGACACCATAGTTTAGTCTTGCCCGTTTTCTTAAATTTGATATGTCTTTAAGTCTCTGAGTCTCCAGGTTCCCCCTCCATTCCTTTCTCTTTTTTTGTTTACAGTCTGTTAAAGAGCCATAGCTGTTTGACCTGGAATTTCCCACAATCTGGATAGTGTTGTGTATTCATGGTTCGGTGTGGTGTATTCTTCTTTCCTCCCTATTTCCTGCAGATCACCAGCTGATATCTAGGTGGTATTTTAATTCAACTGTTCCTATTTCATTTGTTAATTGGAATATTTTATAAATAGATGTCAGTGGTATTGTTCATATGGCATTAGGCAGGATAAATGCTTCTCCTAAACATTGGTAATTTACTGTGAAATTTACCAATTTTCACAGTAAGGAATTATTTCCTCTCATCTTCTGAAGGTGACCGTTTAAAAAATATAAACTTGAGGATTTAAACCTTTCTGACAGGTTTCACTCAGTTGCACTTATTATCCTTTTTGAAGTTCACATTGTCCCATCTTCTTTGGCCAGTGGGGTCTTCCCCACTTTCATCTGAACCTTTTGGTTCTTTTGTCCCTGTCCTGCTCAGCCACTGCTTCACTCCACACAGTGCTTTTTCTCTATGAAGGGCTCTACCTAGGAAGGACCCAGAAAGGAGCCAGTTTCAGAGGGAGCCTCTACCAGCTCCTTTGTCTTTACCATGGACACTCTGTGGTCACTTGCTGTGGGAGTAGCAGAAACACTGCCACTTCCAGCTGCAGTTCTCCCACTGGCCCAGGTACTTTCTGGTGTGAACCTGTTGGCTCTTAGGGCTTCTGTCGTTCTCAGGTCCATCTGATGCTCCATTGCTTCCCTCTGTTTTCTTTCGATGCCCCTATCCTATGGGTCGCTGTCCATGGTTTGTTTTTAACCGCTTGTATTTGGGGGGTCTGCAGGACTCCTTGTCATCTAGTTTTTTTCTAAATGTTCTCCAGTTTTTGAGTTTTTAAATTTAGTTGCTTTATGTAGGGACTCTGGAGAGATTCAAAAACTACACCACTGTTTCTACCATCTTTCCAGAATCCTCCCCTGCTTTCATATTTTACATTTAGATCTCTTGATTCATTTGAATCGTTTCAGATGTATTCAGGTGAATGGCACAAGGTGTGGGTCCAATTTTCATTTTCCAAAGCTGTTTCCAGTTGGCCCAACACCATCTTAATTCACCATCTCAAAGTTAGTGATTTGAGGTGCTACCGTCATCAAACACTAAATTTTTATATGTACTTGGTCCTAATTTTTGGATTTTCTATTTTTGTTCCATTGGTTTGTCTCTTGATTTGCAGTGTACCGCATTACTCTTAACAGCTTTTTACAAAAACATATGTGGCAAGTTGAGTTCCTCTGGAAAATCCCAGCCAACATCTCTTTGAATAATCCTTCTTTCATTTTTGATTCCTTTTTGAATTCAGATTAGAAGTATATTAGATCTTCTCAGTCTATTTGTGTCTCTTACCCTCTTTTTCATATTTTGCATTTCTGCCTTTCTGATGTGTTGAGAATTACTTCCTCAGAATACCTTCCAGTTCAAAAATTTTTCCTTCAGCTATGCCTTATCTGTTTTTTCATTTCTAAACTTTCTACTTGGCCATTCTTTATGGGCCCTTATTCCTTGCTCATGTTTTCAAACATCTTTTATTTCTCTATCAGGGTTGTTTCATATTTTCCAATTGCAGTATCTGAAAACTTTGTGGGTGTTTCTGTTTTGTTTCTGCAGGCTCTCCTCAATCCCTTGTTTCCTTGTTGTGTTTTGTGCTTCTTAACTGTGAGCTACTGCTTTCCTTGGAACTTTATCTGGGGGAAGTCTTTGAGGACTGAGTCACAGTTGGATTAGAGAAGGTCGTTTGCCTCTGCCAGTCTCAAGGAGGGTACTACAAACTCACAACCCCTTCAATAAAGTAGATTGTCGTCTTCAGGGTTTTTTTTTTTTTTTTTTTTTGGGACCACATGGAAAAATGTGAGTTCTAAGTATATACCTGTACAATCATCTCATGCAGTTAAGAATCCCGCACTCCACACACTAGGCTTTCTTGCTGTCCCCCTTTCATTGCAAGTTTATTTCCTATTACCTTTAAGCCAAGGATGTGAACCTTTGGGGTTTCAGCTTTATATAGGCATCGCCTTCTTGACTCCCCACCTTGAGGGGAGCCCTTGTCTTTAGGGCCTGTCCTCCTGCACCTTTTGAAGCTGTGAAGGGAGAAGCCCAGAGTCTACAGGCTTCAGCAGAAGTCCTCAGGGAAAAAGCTGGCCTTGATGCTTATTACCTTCAGGAGTTGATACTTCCACTTCAGTTTTGGCCTCAGATTCCTCCTTTTAGTGTCATTCATAGGCAATGCATTTTAATGTTTAATTAAAAAATTTTTTCACTTTTCATTTTGAAATAATTTGGAGTTAAAAAAAAAACTAGTAAGAGTTTCCATATATCCTCCATCCAGGTCCCCCAAATGTTAACATCTTATGTAACCACAGTACAATTATCAAAATGAAGAAATTAATACTGATATAATGCTGTATCTATAGACATTATTCAAATTTCTTGAATTGTCCAACTAATATCCCTTTTCTGGTCCAAGAGCTAATCCAGGATCATACACTGCATTTAGCATTGTACTTAGTGTCTTTTAACCTGGAACCTTCTGTCTTTATCATTTATATCATTGATAATTTTTGAAGTGTTCTGGCCAGTTGTTTGGTAGAAAGCTGTTTAACAATGCATCCTTAAAAAATATCTTTCATATTTTATCCAGCATGTCACTCACTACAGTTGGTTGTTTGGGGTTTCTAAAACTGGAAGTCTTAAGTTGATTTTTAAATTATTTTCATAGACTAATTTTTTTTTTAATGCAAAAGATGAACACATTAGGAGTCAGAATTTTAAACAGATACAAGTTCTATGTGTGACTTTGCAGTGAAGCCTTGGGATCATTCATCCCTTATACCCAGGTGTCCTTGTAAGGACCCAGGTTGACCTTGTACCTGCTAAGACTTTAAACAAATTGAGGAGTTCGGCAAAGGAAAGAAGCTAAATGTTCTGTCAGCTCTTTTAAGAATTTTAAGTTGAAATCATTTTAAAATTATGTCATCAAAATAGTTTAAGACCCTGCTTGCTCCAGGGAGAATTAGAAGAAAGAGGCATTAGCTCCAACTTTATTAGAGAACTTAAGGCAGTCGTTTATTTAATAAAATTGTCAACCATTTAACGTGCAGTAGTTGTAAATGAGGATCTTGCTTTTAGGTTTTATTTGTGATGTGTCTTTTTACGTCGTTTGTGCATCAAAGGATAGAGTAAGGAGGCTGGAAGCCATGTCTAGACATCAGCTCTGTAATGAGAGCTTTGGCGTCACGAAAGCTGACCTAAGCTGCGAATGGCTTTTAGGAGGCAGTGTGCTTGCGGCTAGAGGTGCAGGAACAGAGATTCAGGCAACCCACAAGGTTCACGATCACATCAAAAGTTCCATGAGAGTACGTTTTATATTGTCCATTTGACAGGACGTTATTTCACTCTTTCACACAATTAAGGAGTTTTTAGATGGTTTAGCTATCTTGTCCTTGATTAGCAGTGCAATTCCAAATTGTAATGTTACTGTGGGAGATACAGTCCTCTTTATGACACAGCTTCTAGACATTTATGTCCAATGGGACCTGCCTGGGCTGGGTTTCTCAAAATGTTTAATACTAGAACATTATGTTGTTGTTGTTTTCCTTTTTTAGTTCTTAACGCTGAAAATCAGAAAGGAGGCACAATAAATTTACTAGAACAGCGAGAAAAGAGGAATCACACACTCTGAACCAAACTGGAATCACACACTTTGTGTCAGAATTGAACAGAGATCACTACAAAATATTCATGAGGGATTGGATACTGTGAAATGTCCTAAGTAAAATATCTAAAGATGATTATCGTGGAGTTTTAGTTTGTATTTACTGTGTAGGAAAATGAGACTGTCTTTGAGACACTTTTGAAGTGTCTGTATTGAGATGTCAAAATTGTCGAAATTTGTTGGCTACTAGGTATTTCATGAGAAGATCAACACCAGCAATAGAACACAGGTTCTCCTTCAAGTACGGCAGCAGTAGTTCTACTGTGGAAGTAACTTCTGACGTGAAGGAGGCCCACCGCACTTGCAGAGCTCCTTGTCCTCGGTCCCCTCTGGAGTCATTCTCTTCTCCACGTGCTGTGCTGAGTGACGGGTACCAGCCCCTGTTATTTCTCCTCGGTGGGCACTGAATGATTTTTGGTTTGTCTTCTTGTACCCACCTCTGGTTCTGACAGTCAGTGGCCTAGAGCACTGAGTGTTAACACAAACATCACTAGCAACAGTGTTAAACAAGTCTAAACACAAAGGTGTTCTGTGCGATAATTTTTTAAGATTACTTGTATAATAACCCTTGTCATTAATGTACAAAATGCTTTTAAGTGACTTGTAATTTGAATACTTGTGATGTATACTTGCTTTGCTTAATATGTGTGGGCAAAGCAAAATCTTGTGTAACAAGCCCTTAGACTTCTGTGGATTAGACTTTTGACACAGCAGGGGCCAGAGCAGAGCTGACCCTGGCTGCCTGCGGCAGAACAGTGAGGGCAGCACAGTACTGTGGGGAGAACCGCCTACTTCGCTACTAGAAGAGAAGAAGAGAAAGTTAATGTTGAAGGATATACATACATCATTACAGATTAGAAAGTCAAGAGAAATGCAGTAGTTGTTTGTGTCAGTTTACATTTAGCATGTGGTAAAGGACTATCACAAAACTGATTTAAAAATCAAAAGTTAATCTGAAAACGACTAATCATAATTTACATTAATAGTGATGTCAGGTTTGACTCGAGTTGGTTCTTAACATTTTAAGGTAAATAGGCTCTTGCCGGGCTTGTGAATGACTGGCAAAGTCACACTAATGACCTTTAGTGAGGCTCTCTAAAGGGTAGGTGGGTGGTGATGCTTATTAAAATACATTTTGAGTCATGGGATTTGAGATGCAGGGGCCTCAGGTCATTGGACGTAACTAACTCCCTTGTTTACAGAGAAGAAACTGGGGCCCGGAGGAGTTCTGAAGCTTCTCCAGGCCAGCAGCCCGTGAGCTGGAGTGCCTGCGTCCCGGCCAGCTGTGAACTCCAGGTGCCACTGGCAGTCACCGAGGGCAGGTCCTGGTTTGCATTCAGGTTAAGATGTCCAACTCGAATGCTGTGTGATATTCTCCTACCTAATCACTAAGATTAAACTTTCTACCCAGAAAAGGCAACTGAAGCAGGGTATGAAAGTAGCTTTATAAATCTAAGTCCTTGTCCAGCCTCCCTCTGTGTCTTAGTCTTAGGGTTGATATTCTCTCTTGCTTAGCCTTTATTCATCAAATGTTTAATCAGTGTGCCTAGAGTTGCTGAGAAATAAAACACTGTTAGTTCAACTTTTAAAACTGCTTTCAGTTTTCCCTTCATCCCCTGTTGGATCCCTAAGGAATCAGCTTGTAAACTGTGGATTAAGCATGGTGGTTTGCCTTATAAATTCAACCTTTCGTGGAATGAGATGTCATTGTAAATTTAAAAAATCATGATTTCATCTCCTATACAGAGGCACCAAAAGGCCATTTGTTCAGGAGGTGTGTACTTTAGCTATTTCTTCAAGCAGTCATGCTTTATTACTGTTGACTTCCCTTGGGATCACAGACACCTCTTCCAAGGAATAATCTAGAGGTGTCACGGTTGTTTAAAAAACAAACAAAACCTGTGTAATAAGCATCAAATAGATATCAGACCCCCAACCTTGGTCTTTTGGGTTCATCCAAAATTAAACCAGCAGGTAGTCCAGTTTTTAATAGGTTTATATAAACTCTTTGATTCACAACCCTCCTCTATACTCTCAGATGGTGAGCAGACAGGAGTGATGATTCAGTTGATCTTTTTTCCTGCAGGTAGGACTAAAGCAATTTTGGATTAGATTTCATGAATTATCTTAATTACCACACAACCATTGTCTGTTAAGTCAGTGCTGTCATTACATAACTAGATTGATAACTAGCCTGATAGTTTTAATTGGTAATAGGTGGCTATCTATTCATAGTAGAACTTGGAATGGTGAAAGAGAAGTGTGATTTCAGGGTCCTTTAAGGTCCAGGGGGAAGTGGTCTATTCCCACTATGTATTTTAGCTTAAAAGATTATTATAAATAAATGATAATTTATAGGACACTCAACAACTTCTAACACTTGTCTTTGAAATAAGTTTGAAAACAAATATATACATTTTAAAGTTTCCATTAACTGTGGGTTATATTAACATTTTTCACATAGTTAGCTTAGACTGAAAATGTTCATTAGTGTTAGAAAGTTGGGGAAATGGCTTATCTCGTGTATTTAAATGTTCGTGTGTTTGTGTACTATTTCAGCTCAGAGGGCAACACTTAAAGTGTACTAACTAAGCCACTGTTCCGTAACAGCTGGTTTGTAAAATTCTGGTAACATATACACGGAAGGATTACACAGAAGTAGTTATCTTATCATGCACTTTAAAAAAACAAACAAAGAAACAAAAATACTAAACTAAAATGCTTCTGTCCTTGTTGGTGCGCCTGTGAAACACATCTCTGGGAAAGTTACATGACTTGAAATATTCTCATCTGTAAACTATATATAAACTTAAGGTGACATTCTTATAAACCAGGACCCTAACCAAGACAAATGCCTATTTTTAATCCACAAATGCCTATATTTTATCCTTACTCCTTAGAATAAAATTAAATGTTCTAGGGACTTGCCTGCTGGTCCAGTGGTTAAGACTTTGCCTTCCAATTTAGGGGGTAAGGGTTCAATCCCTGGTCAGGGAGCTAAGATCCCACATGCCTTGCAGCCAAAAAACCAAAACATAAAACAGAAGCAGTATTGTAACAAATTCAATAAAGACTTTAAAATGGTCCACATCCAAAAAAAAAGTTCTAAAGTAGAACAAAAATCCTGAGTCAAGTGACATAGGTTTAATACTTCATACCCCTACAGAGATTCTAATACTGTGGGAGTGCTTGGTAAATATTTGACTTTTTAAAGTCCAAGTAAATGACTGTGACTGACCAGTGTTTTGCCTTTTAGAACCTTTATAAACAGATTTAGATGAACAAATGCCTTTTTAGAATGAATGTTAATAAACACATGGGAATTAGGATAAAAAACTCAAGGCTTATTAAGAGGTAAGCCGGAGTCTTTGTGGAAAAGCTCCCGATGTTAGAGCTTGCTTTTTACTAATTTCTCTCTCTTAAAGCTGTAATGAAATGCAATGGAACCTCCAGTATAATGTAACATGTCTGCCTTTATCCAGAAATCAAACCTTCACCTGAATGTTTTAACTCAGTCCAAAAAAGCTGCTGCATTATCAACATTTAACATCTGAGCATCATTTAAAAGAGTAGTTCTGTGACCTTAACCAGCAGTCTACAACTGCCAGTTTTTTCCCTGTGAAGGGTATCTTGGTATAATAACATCTTTGCTCTTGTTTTTTGAGATGGGTTCATTCAGAAGTTATTCGGAGAGTCAACAGATAACACATCTGTGGTCAAAACAAAGCACCACACTTTCCTTTAAACTTGGCTTAATGTTTGAATTCTAAACAGAAGGTTGCAGGTATTTTATCTTTGCAGTAGTTTAGAAATTCAGAGTTTTACATAACTTTATGTGATCCTGGAAAAGCTGATACATTCTCTTTTTAAATAGAAGGCAATGTTAGCAGAAAAAAGTCTGAAAAAAGAGAAAAGAGAAAAGAGAAAAAAGTCTTATAGTTTAAGTGAATGCAACTTCTTCACTTCACTGGAAGCAAACTGTTCAGGGGTAAAGCTACCAGACTCCCGACTTGCCACCTCCAAGTTCCTACTTCCAAATTCCTCTGCACTCTTAGTGTCCTGTGTCCTCACCATCAAGTGTCTCTGCTATTAAAGGGAACCCTGGAGGCCTTGTTTTACCTCCTCCATTCCGTTTTCCAACAAATTGCCTCCAGGATTTCTACATTTTTAAAAGATCCACATCCCGTTAACTGAGTGAGCAGGTTCTGGAACAATGAAGGCCTTTTTCTCAAGTTTATACTACAGCTGGGAAGACAGAAACAATTAACTATTTAAATTACAACTGAAAATGCTAAGCACTTTTAAAGGGTTCGGCCTAAACCAGGAGATGGAAATGCCTTCTCTGAAGATGTCACATTTCAGCTGAAACTCGAAGGATAAAGGGAAGCTATCCAAGAGAAGAGGCTTGCTGGTCAGAGGAAAAGCAACAGAGCTGCAGCTTGAGAAGCCAAGGGGAGAGGGCAGAAATGAAGTGGCCAAACTGGGCGTCGGTGGGTGAAGACTATATCATTAACCAGAGAATAGTGGATCTTTTATGATCATACCAGCTCCTCCGAGGCAATGACTGTCTCCGTTACTTCACCCCACTCACTCACACCTCAGCTTACTCTCCAGATTCTGCCCCACCTCTTCAAGAAAGGTCTCCCTGTTGTCGCCAGCAACCTTTGTCAGATCCAATGGGCCCATTTTGGTCCTTATATCTTAGGCCTTCCAGTTGTTTGTGGCCCTACATTGTTTATTTTCTGGTTAAATCTCCTTTGCATGCTTTTGCATAGCCGGAGCGGAACTCTCCTAAACTTTTCTAAACAGGGTGCTCTTTGACCAATAACTGAGGTAATGTTTTAGAAAAGTCAGAGTCTTGAAAATAGTGACATAAAAACTTTGCCAGAAGGTGGCAGGGCATGATTTTAAGGTGCTCAGTTATGTTTCGTCTACCTGCTCCCCCCACCCCTGTTCCCTGGCCCACTCTTAGAACTTGGCTGTCCCAACTCTATTCCTTGGGACCAATCTCAGGCTCTTCTACAGACTCCCTGAGCAATTGCAACCCCCAGTCTAGGCTTTAGTTTACATCTTTGCAGCCACTTAGTCCTCAGTTCATGTCTACCCAAGAATGCACCTTTCAGCTCCACACCAGACTACTTGCTGTCTTCACTAGGATGTCTTTCAGCGACATCTCAACAGGGAATTCCCTGGTGGTCCAGTGGTTAGAACTCTACGCTTCCACTGCTGGGGGGCCTGGGTTTAACCCCTGGTTGGGGAACTAAAATATCGCAAGCCACACAGCCGGAAAAAAAAAAGACATCTCAGCATCTAAAACAATCTTTATCCCCAAACCTTGTCTCCTATTTTGCCTATATAAGCAAATGGCACCACTCCATCTAGTTATCAAAGCCATAAAACCTACGAATCATCACCCTTGATTTCCACAAACTCACCCAATCATTACCAAGTCCTGTACCTCCTTTATCTTTTGATTCTATTCACTTTCCTCTATTCCCTCTGCCACTACCTTAATTAAGACCAGCCATCATTTCCTCTCACCACAGGAGCTTCCCTGCCTACAGCCTTGTCACCTTTTGAACCAGCAGTCTTGAGCAAGCAGATCTGATTTGATCCTTTTGTTTCCCCGAATCAAACCTTTTAGTGGTATCCACCAACATCAGACAGTCAAATTCATTCACCTGGCTTCCCAGGTTCTGGAGGACTGGCCTCCCCTTACTTCTCAAGCACATCCCTCCAGTCCCTTGTCCTGCTCTATACTTTAGTCAAACTGCCACCTTCTCATCTCAAGCTTGTGCACATCTGTGTCCCTGTCTAGGACCCCTTTAACAGCTAATGCCTCTTAACCTTTGGGACCCAGATGAGATGGAGACTTTCTCCGTAAATCTTTTACGTAAGGTGGTTCTCCTACACCAGCATACTGCGTTTCCCCAGGATAAAGACCTGTCTGCTTTTCCGCATTCTTAAGGTTGTTAGATCTGTGAGGGGAGAGGTGGTCTTATTTACCCCATCATTTTTTTTAGCACCTCGAATGGCAGATATTTTAAAAGTTCTAAAAAATGTAACTTTCAGCTTTTCTGATTAGAAACCTGCAGTTAAAACTTAGGAACACTCTGCTCTTAAGACCCACTCCTGAAAAAACAGCCTTAGGTGCTCTCTAATTAGGCAGAACACTTGCTCAGTAACCTTCATTTACATTAGCTGACCTAATTAGACATCATTTAAAAAATGCCAGAGTGCCCTCTTAATCCAACAGTCCCTGGTGGCCCTGACCCGCATTCTTCTAGCTTGCCTCAGGTTCTTCTTGGTGGTTTGCAAAATCTTGCTGTTTTTTATCCTCCATGCATTTTCTTTTAATTCTTTCTTCTACTGCCTCTTTTCTACCATTTCTTTGTCTTTTTTGTTTGAAGTATTCAGAAATTACCAGCCAGAAACAGTGTTCCTTCTCAAAAAACTAGCCAAATAGCTAACAACAGGTATATTCTTTATCTCTTCATAGCTCAAGTTTCTACTGTACAGCCTACTTTATTTTTAAAGACTTCTGGATTCTGAGATTTCCGGATGCCTACGGGCTGTTCCTGGATGACACACGTGTCGCCAGTCTACTTCAACAGCCACAAAGGAGGGGGTCAGGAAAGTTCTTACTCCGTAGCCGGCAAGATCTGCTCAGGTTAGCTGCTTGCAAATATTTCCAGAAGTAAAGTTTCAATAATCACATTTGCAAGAAAGGTGTCAAATAAGAATTAGGATATTTGAAACTCAGAAACCACAGAGCAAATATAAAATGGTTGCTAGTCTTAAGCCAAGCCAAAAGTCAATTTAAGTTAGGTGCAGGGTAGCTCATTCTGCTAATAGTATTGCTTCCTGTGGAGGAGAAGGAAAGGCCCCCAGAGGCCATGGCAGCTTGACACAGAACAGCAGAGCAGAGACAGGAAGAGGAACTGGCAGCAAAGGAAGAAGGGTGAAGCCACTGGCACTGGGCATTTGTAGGTATAGGTGATTTAAGTCAATTTTCAAAGCCAGAGGATGCTGGAAAGACCCTGATTGAAAATGTCTGATGGGTTAAACTGTGAAGTAGTAAACAAAAAGGAGTATGCCGTGTTGAAACCTAACTCTAAAAATGAACAAATCTATACAGTCTTATCTTTTGAATAATGTCACTAGCAAACATGATGTGTAATCTTTTAAAAGTGCCAAAAGTAACAGTTAATGGATTAAAAAAAAAATCTATATTCTGACAGGTATATAATTTAAGATCCATGACACACAAAATCACAATCCCCGTGTAATTTAGTCTCCCTATATAGCTAGGAGGCCCCCCCCAATCCCTTTAAAATGTATTTTGCCCAAATCCCATGTGTTTAAAAAATCCCTTAATTTGAAACTTCTTTTGGATAATGTTTGAACTACTCAAACATTAAGAGTAATAAACACCTTCAATTCTTAACATGTATCAACGAAGTGCTCTTGTTTTTCATCTCCAGTAGTGCATTTTTTGTCAAGAAATTTATTAACCTTTACAAACACTATTTTCACTCAATCATTCATAAAAAATGATTTCTGAGTAAATCTGTAATAAAACCATATAATGTTCATCAATGCATTCAATAAGACCAGTTTCATCCATGGAACATAATAAACCACTTTAAAACAGCAGTTTTCATTCACGTCATGTAAGGCTGTCAAATTAAAAGTATTCCTTATAATGGGTTGTTACCC